GGGGGTGGGGGAGATGGAAGGGGAAGGAGGGGAGACGTAAGGGGAAAATGGGGAAAGGGGAGGGAGGCTTGAGTTTTTTTTCCCTCTTTTTTTTTTTTTTTAATTTCTATTTTTTAAGATTTTAAATGCTAAATTGTTTTAAAATATTTTTTTTGTTTAGATCTAGGTGACATACTCTCATTGGATACGTGGGCACCATATATATGCCACATCAGCAATTTAACATAAATTTTTTACTGAACTCAACGACAAAACCAAATTGATGTGCAAACTGTAACATATAAGACCAATAATGTCAAGAAAAAAAATATATAAATAACCAAAAGTGATAATTTTACAAACCTTGAAATTATTTGTGATAAAAACCCGTTAATGTATGCAAGATCTACCTACACCAAAGCACGTCCAAGCAGCTTCTTGGCCTTCCACTTGCGGGGAAATGGAAGCAAATAATGGCCGGTTTTAAAACCTCACTTTTTCTGCAGCTTTTGTTGTTTGAAAAATAAAATAACATCACAAAGAGGATCCCATGAGAATTCTTTGAAGATGCAAAAGTCTTATAGCTATTTTATTCATCAAATTATGAAACCAAATACAAAATTTCTATTAATGATGTCCAAAATTTGCAAAAAGTCAATAAATGGAATAAATGCCACTGTTGTAAAAGTTTTATGTTCTTGATAGTCACTTTTCAATAAAGAGATTAGAAAAACACTTCGTTAATGTAATTACAAGAAAAAAGGTCAATAGCGACCAAGTCACCGGTCACTAATAGCGCATGATCAGTGACAAAATATGCGAATTCAGTCACTAATGTTTGTTGACCACAATGAATTTCTTTTACACATTTATTTCCACTTTTTAATCACACCAATATTTGAGATTAAGTAGTGATCCAGTTTAGTTTGGTCACTGAAAGCTGCTTGCTTTTAAACCAAAACAATGCCGTTCTATTTTTAGTGACCAGGAATGAAATCAAGAACAGAATTTGCCTCTATACAATGGGGAGGGGAGAGGGCTGTTGCCTCACCTTTACAAAGTTCTTAAAATGAACGGATATATTCAAGGCATCTTTTTATTGTTTATCAACAATAACAAAAAAATAAAAAATAAAAAAATAAAATTATATCTATTATTGTTTATCAGGAATTTGATGAAAGATGATACCACACAAAAGGAATGTTCTAGTAACTATACCGACTATCCGTCGCATTAATATAAATCAAATATCTCTAGCAGACAAAATACTCCTAAAGACTTACCCTTTGAACTTCTCCCAAATGAAAAGAACGAAATGCAAATGAAACTAGCCACCGCAAAATCCACTGGTACACTTATTGGAGCAAGAAAGCGCAATCTGTTTATGCCAGAATTCCAAAACACAGATCAACATACAACAAAACACAACAAAGCCCCAATTACAACATTCATATTATAATTCACTAAATTCCCAAAAGAAAAAAATCCCCCACTTCACTGTATTTGCTCACTCACCAACCCAGGAACAAAAGTTAGGTGGTCAAGAACATCAAAATAGTCCAGGCATATGAGATCAAGTTAAAGTTGCAGATCGAACTCTATAATTTTAATTCTAATCTAAAGTCATACTAAATTATCATAATAATGGACCAGAAATCTTACATGGTTGTGCCCTGAGCAGTCCTACCTTGCGAAAATACATTGAAGAATGTAATATTCTCCCACAAACTCGTATTCCGTCATGAAAAAATCAGATAAATTACAAAACCAAGCTTCTTGCACATGAATGAGTAGTTATAAATCAACGAGACTCCCAATCCTTCAATTTCTTGCTTCCTTTGGGTTTTGCAATAGGCGCATTCATTCCTGCCATTTTAGCATTATACTTTGACCGAAGAGGATCGTTGTACGTCCATCTGAAATACAGAAAACCAAAATAAATGTGCTTGTTTGGCAACAAATTTCAGGATCAAATAAAACGTATTCAGATGTACATAGTCTGGAAGATTAAAAGAGAAGCCAAAGTGGATCCTATTACTGATGATACAGTTATATTCCCCAAAATACTTATAAGGTATTCCAAGCCACTTCTTTTACCGAAAAGGGGAAAAGGCCCTATGAAAAATTCATCAGAATTTGTATGGTATGTTCGCCTATTCACAACTCAACTTTTGTTCTCCCTCAAACAAAATTCACATCAATTTAATATATATTCATACCACAAGACAGCTCCCCTTAGTGGAACCTTAACTTTACATACTAAGAAATCCAAGTGACACAACCACCAAAAAATAATACTTATACTGACATATATCCAAAATATGTTGATATAGAAATGAAAGTAACAATATGAATATGACCATAAAAAATTGCTAATAAAATTGAAAAGAAAAATAACTTTTCCCATGTTCTATTACTTCAAAGTTAAGCCACCAATGCTTTGTTCCAAAACTTTAAATTATTCCTATGACCACAACAATATCAATGTAGTTTTTCTATATATTGTTGAAGAAGTTTTAGCTTATTATCCTAAAATTTTGACTCAACCCATGGCTATTCTTTTTTATTTTTGTTTTCCTGTCATTCCATTTACAGATTATGGATTCCTGGCCAACCGGACTTTGGAGTCTTGAAAACATATACAGATATAATGATGTAGGACAAAGAAAAAGTGCAAAAAGATATGGAATTTGGCATCACTACTAAAAGTTTATCGGATCACTCCTAGCAATAGATCAGAAGGTGTCTTTGGCTCTCTCCAATATCATTCAAGCTACACATGAGAGTGGGAAATCATAGAAAACTATAATTTATGCGATGTTCAGGTGAAAGACAGTTTTTGGTTAGGAATACTTGTACAGGTGAATTAGGTGATGTTTATGTCCATCTTCTGACCAAAAAATAAAAAGTAAAAAATGTTGACCATCAGTAAAGTCAAATACAGTGATATTATACATTTACCATAACCAATTTTCTTTTTGATTCCCTAAAGCATTTTATAAATCAAATTTTACTTATCAATGAATATAACCTATTTGTTTAATTATTATATCAAACTATTTAAGCTAATAGACATATGTGCTAATAAATCACCATACCGCTATTGGACCACACATACTTTTCTACAAGACTAATGCTCATCAAGTGCTACGTGAATGTCCTCAAATCTTACTATTCTCCAACCCATAAAATCTTACGATTTGACTGAGAAATTCAGTAAGATTAGCCCTTCCATTCGTATTCACTTCAAATAAACTGTGGGTAAACTGACACAAACTCTAACTTCCCTTGAGAAAACAAGAAATATAATAGTGCTTGTGGTGTTTAATGAATTCAACACAAATAGGTAACCAGAGTGGTTAATGCATTAAAGAAATTGAACTTACGGATTGTTCCAATCAGTGGTATCCTCATTGACAAGATGAGTCCATTTCGTCCTTCCACTACGACCAAAATGTTTGACCTGCATGACCTTGGGCAATATTGTTTTGTCCATCTTATCTTCTCCAGTTGGGGCAGAGAAATCACGTGTGTAAATTCCATCTGTTCCAACAGTTGCAGCATAGTCATCAGGTTCTGACTGGAAGAAAGCACCCTTGTGGTAATATTTCTGCATAAATCTCCACTTCTGCTTTGGTTGTGGTGCAGCTTTCGGATGCTTCCTCTCCCAGTCCCTCCTCTCTTCCTCTGTCATGTTCCTAACCCTTTCAATCTCTTCCTTCTCCTTTATCATTGCTTCCCGGTCCTCCCTATCCCTCTTGATCCTGGCTATCTCTCTTGCCTTCCAAGCTTCATACTCCTCTGCCTCGTTTATTTCATCATCAGTATCAATATCAGCAATATTTCCTTCCTGTTCCAAACCCTTCTGAATCTCTTCGTCCTTCCGAATCTCCTCAACCACAATCTGCTTTGTCTCTCTCTTCCTTTCCTCCAAATTCCTCTTCCTTGATTCCTCAAGGGCTCGTTCTTCAGCCTCAAGTCGCTCACGTTCAGCAATAGTATCTCTCTCTGACTTTGGCACAAAGACAGGCTTCAACATCACCATACCAGTAAGCTCTTCTTCAGAGTCAGTATCATACTCAGACTCCTCTTCCTCCTCTTCCTTTACTTCTTCCTCGTCTTCCGACAGAAGGAGTGGAGCTTCTTCTTGCTCCCTTTGACGCAACTTCTCCTTGATCCTTCTTCTTCTTTCCTCCAAAGCATCTGCGTCCTCTTCCTCCGCTTCTAACCCTTCCTGCCTCTTGGCTTCTTCTTCAATTGTTGAAACAATCTCAGCTTGCCGGATACGCCTATGATCAGCTCGAACATCCTCACGATTATCTATCCTGCTCTCAGCCAAACGGCGCAGTCTAGGATCATCTTTTCTAACAACATCAGAATATTCCTGCGTGGGGAAAGCTTTCTCCAATGAAGCAGCTGCGGACATCCTAATATCCCCATCTTCGTCGGCATCATCTGCCCACTCGGGAGCTTTTCCAGGCCAATACCTTTTAACTTTTGTTTGCCCAATTTTACCTCTGAGCTTATCCCTAACTGCTATCACAGTATCACTAACACCTGCTGTTACCGACATTGTTGCACCTTATAGACACTCTCTAAACACTGGTTTAAAACATTACACCACAACTTCTCATAGACAGCGCTGAAAAAACACTATAATAGGTTATAATAGAGTTATAGAAAGTGCCTTGTCAGCCAAAGATATGAAAGCCTGAGCTATATAAGAGCGTTTTTTACCCGCTATCGAAAGAACATAAACTTTACAAAGAACAGTGCCAATGACAAAAGATGCGATAATTCATCAAATCTATTGTTGTGGCTATTAGAGCACAAAAAGCCAGATATTCATTTTATTTTATTTTTAATTGCCTGAAAACCTAGGAATTCACTTTGAGCTATCAGCATTACGAAGGTACAGGAGCTTTACACAATAAATTAAGAATAGAATTAGCTTTCCAATTCCAAATCTCCAACCCCCAACTTGAATGCTATTCTTATTGTCTAAGTTGTAATCACGAATAAGAGCAAAGCTCCTTAGCTAGTCCTATTTTCAAGCAAAACCAAGAAAAAATTCAGAAAACTTGCCCCAATTCAATACTCAACAAATTTAACCCTAAATCAAATTAGGGACATAACAATTGTTTTGATATACTGATTTGTCGGATGCCTAGACCACAACCCTAAAAGAATGAGAGTTATCACCTGTCACAGAGCTTCAGACGTTGGGACAAGAGCAGCCAGCGTGAACTAGTGCGAGTTTGATAAACAGACAGCGAGCTAGAGAAAAATTTCCACCATGAGAGAAAAAGAGTCAGAGCGGGAGAGAGACGGAGAAAATCAGAGCGAGAGAGCGAAAGAGAGATCCCGAGTTTTGTTTTTTGTTTTTTTTTTTGAGACAGAGTTGGAGCGATGGAGAGAGAGAGAGGGTCACGCCTAAATTTTTAGTAATGCTACACTTGCCATATTTTTATCTCACATTTATATACCACATAATGTGGCATGTTCATATCATATGTCACATCAATTAAATGAATAAAGTGTATTTTAATAAATAAAATTAAAAAAACAGAAACTATTATTTTACATAATGTTGTATGTATACATCAGCTGTCACATCATGTGGTATAAAAATGTGGTAAGACTTGTATTATTCCTAATTTTTTTACATATGCTAAAGTTTTTAATTGTCCACGCTTTTTAAACCAACACTTTTCTTTGGTCATTTTAATACTTAAATTATAAAGCTATTAAATTTTATTATTATATAAAAAAAAATAAAAAATATCATCCAACTTAACACTTAATCTTAGCACCCCCCATCACTCTTCGGATTAAGTTTTAGAAAAATATGAACTCCTCTACATTTGCCAAATTACTCTTTTCTTTTAAAAATGTAGAACGTTGAGGAGCCTACCTCTTTAAAAGTTGAGTGTGAGTTGATAAAAAGGCTTTTTGATTACTTGATTGTAATGATTTTATTCTCCTCCCTTTGTTTCATATATCCAACATTTCAGTATATATGCCGGTGCCAATAATGAAATTTAAGAGTTTAATGATTTAAGTATTGAAGTAGACAAAGAAAAGTAAACCCAAAAAGTGTGAGGTTTAAATAGAAAAACTAAAAAAATAAAATTATATTTTGAATGAGAATGCCCTGCTGTTGCAATGAGAATGCTTGGGTTTTCACCTATAATAGAGATGCTCGATGCTAGCATCTGTGTCTCTTTGGGAACAGATGGGGCACCCTCAAATAATAGAATGAGCATAGGTTGAAATTCTGATTGAATCGTGATCAAATATAATTAGAGGCCTTCATCGTACCCACATGAATTGATTAATAAAAAGCATGCTTCTTGTAAGAGCACATATATATAGCTCTTTGAATTATTTCAAGGAGATAATCCACAACGGTGACTTAGACAACATTGCTTGACTTGTATTAAACCTAGTGCTTTAAGAAATTAAACGACAGAAGAGGACGTGAAATCAATCCTCAATTATTTCAAATACAGGACACAACCAAACACCTAATATTGCATGCATGCCATTAAGAAACGACACGTCTTTACTAACAAACATCTTATTCCAAACAGTTCAAGATAATGCAGACCCTGTGGTTTTTATTTAAACTAGAGCAACCATGGTGAACCAGCTCATATCTCAAATACATCCGCAGCCTATTCCTGAACTTGTTTACCCTTGTCTTTAGGCTTATTAGGACCCTCGGCTCCTTCCAATCTTTCATGGTGAGCGTCCTGGATGGAGCTATCTGCTCTGCTAGGTCCTACCTCGCTCTCACCATCATGCTGGTATACGGGACGGAAACCACAGATTTTCGCATACAGCCCTGCCCTATCGCTTGCAAATGAAGCATCCAATAAGTGACTACATCCATTCAACTGATCTTGAAACCACTTCCGTGGTATATAGGTCAGCCAAATGAATCCTCCATCTTCTAACCACTTTAATTCATGGCCAGTTGATCGATAGGAGTGGAGTTCCAAACTAGTGTTGTCAGTTTCCAAGTGACAAATCAGGTTGTGAGGATTTTCTGGATCGAACTTGTCTAGGGAGGCAGTTGGATTCTCAAGATCTGAGAAATATGCATAAAGCGCTAGTCCTGTCCAATTTCTCTGAGTACATAGAGATGGCGGCAACGGGATTTGCACTGAAGAACCACTGACGTGAAAAGGATACCACTCTAGAATTTCGGTAATCGGACGGAAAATTGCGTGGAGTATAATGTCTCGATTAAAGTCCTAAAAAATATAAAAATTAAGTAATGTTATTGGATTCAGATAGCTGATGTGGGAGAGAAAAAAGGAGAGAGTGAGAGAGACCTGAATGTGGTAACCAAATTAAGCCAAAACCCTAGGTCAAATAATTCATTCCATTTGGGGATTATTTGACCTAATTGGGAATTAATCAACCTAATTGGGAGTTACTCAATTTAATTGGGGGTTACCCAATTAAATTGAAGACTACCTAATTGGGTTGAGAATTGATTCCTAATTCCTACCCCGATTCTCAATTAAATGAGGAGTTACCTAATTGAAATAGGATTTGACTTGATACCTACCACAATTAGGGATTTGATTTACCCTAATAAATCAAATCCCTAATTGATCAAATCAATTCCATAAAGGGGAGGAATAATTCCCTTCCATCTACGGAATTATTCCTCTGAAACCCTAGCCTCCGAGACCATTATAAAAGCATAGCCACACACAATGGTGAAGGTACGTCTAAATTCCTACTGAAACTCTGCAGAAATCATTTCTCACAAACCCTAGCCACCACTTTCTTTCTCTCCCTTACACAAGGCTCCGGCCACCACACACGGCTCCGGCCACCCGGTTTTCCTTGAAATACCTTACCTAACTTAGGCATCGGAGGGCCTTTGGCCAACACCCCCCGGGTGTGGTCCTTTTACTCCGATCTGTTTTGCAGGGAGAAAGAGAAGCGGAGAAGACGAAGGAATCTTTGACGAATATTCTCGTGGGGAAAATCATTCCCTCCAAATTGGTGCTTTCATTGAGAGCACGAGTTATACTCAACGCGTGCTCAAGGAATCCGTTCCACCTATTTTCCAATCCACCGAAGCCTTCCAAACAACCATGGTTGGAAGCATGAAGACGAGAGGCAAAACCGCCGCGATGGCTAGATCCGCGACGGCCCAAAGCCACTCCACCCACGGTCCCGCAATCGACATGGTGGTACCGCCACCTCTCACCACCGCACCGGCCACCGCCGCCGAATATGGCGGAAACTCTCATCCCGGTGGGCTTGTTACCCCTCCTCTCT